CCCCAAAACCCCAAAACCCCAAAACCCCAAAACCCCGTGCCATAAAGAATATATTGAAATTCATACTACATAATATTTTGGTCAGCACAAATAAGATAAAAAGTAGATTCTAAATTTTCTAAAAGTTTGCATCTAATTGTCCAAATCATAAACAAATATTCCAGATCTTCAATGAATTCTGCAAATTGAATCTTCCTAAGATGAGAAAGGAAAGCCTAGAGTGCTTAGACTGGCAAGGTCTTGGAGACCTTGTCAGTCTAGAAGAGAATATTATAGAACAAGATTCTAAGAGATTTTAGGAAATTAGCAATAAGTGTACAGGCGTTGATGAATTCATGAAGAGTGTTGTCCTGATAGATGAATGAGCAGATTGTTCAGGATTTTAGGCTAAGTTTCCATTCTTTTAATGCGGACTCAGGCGAGGATACCTTCTCCTGATAACCTATATTCTGCTTACATTATCCTCTTCTTCCAAGGAGTTTCACCATTTTCTGAAAGATCTGTAAAGAAATTAGTTTATTTGAGGTTTTTGTATAGTAAAATTATTTTTAAGAAATACAATGTAGCATATTTTACAAAGATGGGCTAATAAAAAGGAATACTTACCTTTCTCTACTTTTCTTGCTTTACTCTCTACAATAGCTCCAGAGTCACAATGGTCTTGAGGACTAACATCTTGGTAAGGAGTTCGATCTTCCTACAAAATAAGATTTTATATTACGCTTTTCTTTTTCATGAAACGAATTTGAGATTCTTGATATGAACTGGATGACATTATTATACTGTTGTTATGTTCTGTACAAGTGTTAGGGATAATAACTGAATATAAATAAATTTTATTGTAAAGAAGTTTTCAGGAAACCAGCGAAACCTGAAATAAATAACTTTCTTGCTAAAATGTTAATTTTAAAGAATTAGAGTTTCACACCGATAAATGATTCTTGTTTTAACTTAAAGTTTTACTATGTTTCATAATTATTTAAGCATAAATTTTTCTACTCTCTATGAGAAAGATAATACTATATGAGTTAAGAATGTATGATTATTACTGAATAAAAAGTCTCATAAGTATTTCTTCACTTAATTAAACTCTAGATTAATTAGGACAATAGCGAATTCAAGTCCATGCTTTAGAGGTAATATGACTTTTATCAATTACAAAGCTCTTGAATATAGAAAAATAATCAAAAAATTTGTTACTAGCTCCTCAGATCTGATACTCTATCTCAGAAGTTACTAAATTAGTATTTTCATCTACTATTCAATAGTGTTTAAAGCCTGCAGATTTTCAATGAGCAATAAACATCAGCATTAGAGAGGTTTTGTACCTTGTTCATCAACTCTAAAGAATTAAGCAAGTTCTTACTCAAAATCCCTAGGACGAACACTTTTAGTTTTCCACATTTTTTTACGTGATCTTGTCTTCTTGAACTTCCCTCTCTTAATGATTGACTTAGACTTTCTGTATACTCCTATTAAAATATGTTATGCTTTTGGTCTGGTGGTAGTTAATAGTCCAAAAATTATCATTAAGATCAAGCACGGTAGAGTATTCTTCCAAAAGATTCATTGACGACATAGTATCGCAAAGTTGGATAACTTAAGTGAGCTGGAGCTGCTTACTCTTCTTTACATAACCAGATTCACTCTTATTCTCTTGTATTTCTTTTTGAAGAGACTATGGCATTTAAGTATTTGATACCTTTATTACCTTTATTTTGCTTTGGTCTTTCTTCTCTACTTTTTCTAGTCTTGGTCTATGAAGGTTACTTAAAATTTACCTCTTTTTACACATAATTTTGGACAGACAAATTACGGTCTATATGGATTAAGCTGTTGGCACCCACAGTTTGAGCAAACTTATTCTTTCCTTGATACAGCTGCATCAATAGTATCAGCCATTCTATTAAGAATTTACAGTTGACAATGGCAATAGATAGAAAAACAAAGCCATTCAGAACATCATGTTGTTCATGTCTAGAATACACTAGAGCTCCCATAGTCAAAGTGGCACCTCCCATTGTAGATAAAAATTCTATTTTATTATTTTCAAAGTTTTTATAAGGCTTGATCTTGATCTGAATACGAGCTGTCAGCAGAAGTACTATTAGTGATAAATTGATGGCAACCTTCAGTTCAAAAAGAAGAAACAATAAGATAGCAACTTTCCTCATAGTATTAACAAACTCCCAATATATTACTTCAGGTTTGAGTCCTTGGTAGATTATCAAGAAGTATCCCATCATTCTATTATCTTTCTTCTTCCTTTGCTTAAGAATAACAAGATAGGTTATTAAAGGTCAGGCAATTACCCAAACTAAAATGATAGGTATTCCCACTATTATTCACCATTTCAAATGTGTTGGGGAGAATCATTCAAGATTAGTATCTATTCTTGCGACCTTGTAGCCTTCATCAATTTCAATACATTTGAAAAGACTGATACTTTTCTCTGTGAGCTTTGGGTGCAAAACAAATACAACTGTGATGAAAGAAATCACAAGAGCTCTCTTAATATTTGTGCACCAAGCTGGTTTGACCCATTTAATGATTAGCCACATCACTGCAATGATAAAGAATAAGATTATTGGCAAGAATGTCATCAGGAACAATTTGAAGATTGAGTTTGAGTTAAACATAAAGTTGACTTCAGTGTCTTTAATGAAGCAGTCAAACGATAGTAATGCATCTGTAGACCCTCCAAACAACCTAATAGGAATTGTTAAGGCAATCAACCCAGCTGGATAGTCGTTGGTCATTGATGCAGACACTGTTATAATCTGGAGATAATTAGTAAGGATTCTTAGAAGAACTGATAATTCACTTTCATCAGTTTTTCTTACATTGATAACGACCAAAGTTATGTAAAATAGTAAGACAAGTAGTAAAGTGAACACCACTTGAATTGCATTCCAAATTTGTTCTGGGCATTTCTGTCACTCGTAGTCATTAATTCTTTCATATTTGACATCTTGGGTTACAACTCATTGGGAACAGAGATTGCCTGAATATCCTTCTGCTCAATTTACTGGATGAATATTCTTGGAGCTAAAATAATTTTGAAAATTTTGAAAATTATATTTGTACAGAACTACAAAGCAGAAGATGCTAAATCATCATTCTAATATTGAATTTTTCGAACTTACTTATATGTTTGATTGTCATCTTCAACATCTAAAAATCCTCCTTCACAAGCTTCTTCAACTATTCATTCAACAATCTTGGTAGAATTTTGGAACCTTCTCCAATAGCCAGACTTCACTGATACTTGATTGCCTCCAAGACAATCAGCTTCTAGGTCTCAATCGACTCATTCGATTGCATTCCATTCAAGTGAGTATGTACCTATAGCTCATACTTCTCACTCATCCCCAACGATCCTTTCTCCTGGCTGTCAATCTCTAAAATTAATTTGAAGATCTTTCTGAGAAAATAAAGATCCTAAGACCTCTTGAACTTTATCAGTGTTGATTGATTTTGAACTCAATGTAAAATTTGAGCTTCTTTTGTTATCCCTTATGATAGCTGCAAAGTTATCAAACTGAGCGATCCCCTGATTGACCGAGAGGATATTGAATCCTTTGGTGTTGGCTTCAGATGCATTCCTTGAGAGAATAACAATCTGGCTTGAATTATCCAGATTCATTATTTGGTTATCAATATCGTAAATAGCAAGTGTCAAAGTTTGATCAATCGTTATACCTGATCCGACGTTTTCCAGAATAATATCGTTTCCTTGAGAACTATCTGTAAGTTCTATCTTTGCAGGATAACTGGCAAAGTTTGGTCCATAATTTGCACTATTGTTACTAAATGCAGTGTTTTTAATTCTTGGATAATTATAGTTGTAGTATATTGCTCCTCCACTCAGTCTAGCACTATTTTCTAAGAATTTCGAGTTCTCAATATTTAATTCGCAATTCGCCATACTGGTGCACTCGAAAGTGATTGCTCCTCCAGAGTCTGCAGAGTTGTTTCTGAATATAGTGTCTTCAATATTTATTTTACTATTAAGGATCTGAATGGCTCCACTCCTGCTTGCTCCAGTTTCTTCATTGTTAGAAAATGAGCAGTTCTTCATCTTGAGAAGGTTAGAATCTATGAACTCAAGAGCCTGCTTCCCACCATTAACCTCAAGGTTTTGTATCAAAGTAACACTTGAAGACGAAAACTGAGCCAACGGATACTGATATCCAGAGAGTTTGATGTTCTTCAATTCCACATTGAAAGTCTCTTGGAGAAAGAGTAAAGGAAATGATGTCGAGTAAGAATTTTCTAATAACAAAGTATCAAGTTCAAAATTTTGGCATTTAAGACATCCGATAAGGCCGTTGTCGTTTATTACATCTGTAAATTGGGTATTATTCATCATTCAGCTTGAGAACGATAGTTGAGAAATTCGAAAATTTGTGCTTGACACTTTCAAACCTGATGATATCAAAGTTCCAGATGTTACTTGGATAAATGCGTGCTCATCCTGAGAAGGTAACTTGGTTCAATCAGCTATTGTTAGATTATTCAGAGTAGCTTCAGTTGATACCAGATTAATTGGGGAGTTTGTAAAGTCTATTCCAAATAGAAAAGAGTCCTCCATGATCAAAACAGAAGAAAAACTGTACACAGCTGAAGTGCTATTGTAGATTTGTGTGTTGTTGATAATATGAACCTCTGCTAGAAGCACTTGAATTAGAGTGTCAGTCTGAGTAATAGTGGAAAATTCAAAATTGGCAAGATAACTTTTTATCAAATCATTCAAAAATCACAGTCTTATACAACTAGAAGAAAGCTCTACAGCTACATCGGGTTCAAAAATTGCATTATTTGAATAAATTTGAGTATTGCTGATGATCGAAGGGGTAAAAGCAGATAAGAACGCTCCAACTGGGTACTGTATCGCATAATTTTCATAAATTGCACTTTGAAGTATCTTCAACACTGCACCTGATTCGATCTCAAATACTCCATTTGTGACTCCGAAGTTGTTGGAGATTGTACAATTTGTTCAAATAATACTCGCTTCAGTTTCTGCTTTGAATATTGTAGATAAAACGGCTGAGTTATTCTGGAATACTGAATCTTCAATTGTAATAACAGACCTATCAGATGCTCTGAATATTCCTGCAATAAGACCCAATGATGTAAACTCTGTAAACGAACTATTCTGAATCTCATAAACCAAATTCTGGCTTGTTGAGATGAATGGAGTACTGCTGAGTGTCACATTTGAGAATGTTGAGTTCATAAACTTGAATTTTGTGTCAAGATCATTCGATATTTTCCTACCTTCAGCTTCAATAGACCCAGAATTAGCACCAGAAATGGAGCATTCAATAAAATGAACAGCAGTAGGAAGTTGATGTTTTAACTCTATTAGAACACCAGAAGTTACAAACTTCACATTCTCAAATGTCAGTTGGCTAAACTGAATGTGCAAGTTGAGGCTTCCAACAAATCTATCTGTGGAAACTAATGCTCTTGGAGATGGAAAAGTGCATCCAGAGTATTTTATATTATTGAAAGTAATATTTCTATCATAATTTGAGATTGAAGAAATAGTTCCAACCCCGAACAATGACATAGAAGAATTCATGATTGAGATGTCTGAAATTTCAGCAATCTGCATTTCTTCATAGTTCAGCGAGCCAATTCTTATTATCTTCTCAGCACTTCCAAAGGAATTGATTGGATTCACATTCTCGAGAGTCACATTAGAAATTGAAATTGAGTTTATGTAGAGAAAATTGAGCAAAGACTGACCCTCAGAAGTGTTACAATCTTTGAACATGAAATTTTTAACAGTCATCATCACTGGTGGAGTAGTTATGTAAAACAAGGGAACAGCAGCTAATTCAAGGTTTTGAAAGCTAAGATCTTTCAGAATTATTGAGCTTGTATTAGGAAATGAAAGAGAAAATAGAGGAGCATTATATGCTCCAATATTATTAAAATTTCTTAAAATAACGTCTTCCATTTCAATATCTCCAGTAGCAGTGATTTTTATTATCTCAAATTGATGATTCAGACTATCTTCAAAAGTGAGATTCTTGATTTTCAAATCTTTAATCGTTAAAATTTCCATCAAGAATGTTTTGGTTAACACATTGCGGAATGAGAAATTAATCATTTCGCTTTGTTCTACTCCGATAGTGTACAAATAAAACAGTCCGAAATTCCAATCTTGGGTAATGTTGACAAAATCAAAGTTTCTCATTCCTACATAAACAGGCCTGTAAGGAACTGCGAATGAAACTATTGGAGATAGTAGTATATTCAGATTTCCATATGGTTGTGACTGTCCGTTGGAATGTATGGAATCGTACTCGACAGTCTGAAGTAAGCCATCATCTGGAAGTCATGTTGAGCTAACTCCAACAACTATTCAAACATGAAGTCTTTCATTAACAGGGAGTGATCCTCAATCAATATCAATCATAGTGTGGTTGCCAGGGAGATAAGAGTTTAAAAAAGTGTAAGTATAGTCGAGCTTTTCTAGAGAAACCTTAGGATTCACAGATTTTATATATACATTATTCTTTGTGTTAGCTTCTGGATAATTTCAGAATACTATCAATGGGTAGAAGAATCTACCTTCAATTGATACATCCACAGTGATATTCTCTAGATGTACATTCATTGGATCGTTGATTTCAAACGATTCACCAGTAACATTAAAGTCCATATTGTCTAAATTGGGAATGTGAGGAATCGAATTTTCAAATTTCCGAATCTTCTTAATCTCTTAATGCTATTAAAAACCAGGGCGTATGAAAAGATTCTTCAATAATTTATCTGGACAAAGAGAAATCTTTCATATCTTTGATCGAAACATTTTCTGTGGGGAGTATTTTATTGACATTGGCATATTTTTATTTCATGCAGTAAAGATTTTATTTAAAAAGTTGTAAAAATCCTGAATACCAAACCAAATATTGTCAACTGGTAAATCGATTCAGAAATTCTGCTGTTAAAATTAATACTTTTTGAAGCTATCTAAAGTACAAATAGTTTTAACAGTTTTTTAGAAGCGATAAGGAGAATTCTTCTCTGAATCACACTAAGCCTAGATTTCTCAAAAAATGTAATAAAGGTCTGGGCCATTGTTAAGACATAAATATTTAAAAATAGTGAAACAAATTCAAAAGTGTGGGAGTGTGACTAAACCTTACATAATTTGAGTAGCTTTTCTTGGAAATAAATTGTGACTCAGAAGAAATCAAGCTCAGTGCTGTGGAATTCTACCTCAGAAATCTCAAAGCTGGTCCAAGCAAGCATGAATCCCATTTTCCTTTTCGAAAGTTCAGATATCTCTCTTTCATTTATTCCTTCTTTTATAACAAAATCGTCTTGCTTTATAGAGATATTCTTCAAAAGATGGAATCTTGCCTTCTTGGATATTCCTGGTTGAGTACGACTGTTAAACGAAATTTGTGCCCTTTTATTCAATAACTCGTAATCAGGATGAGCTGTGATTTTTACACTTGTCATATTAATAAAATAAAAATTATCCATCTCGATATAACCATCCTTCATATAAATTTCAACTTCAGCTTCTGTGTTACTATAGTGATTTAATATCTCTGATGCAGCTGACTTGAAGGTCCGATATGGATATTCATAAGTACCTAACTCAATAAGTTTCTGACTTTCAGGATCAACATAAATTTTCAAAGTCTTTCATATCTTGCCAATATTCATCTTTTCAGATTGAATTTCATATTTATCTGAGGCTCATGATTGAACGCATTCAAAAGTTTCAATATCAAAAATTTCGTTTGGAGGGCATTCGAAGCAAGAAGCTTGATATGCTCATGCTTGGATTCAAACATTATTTCAAGATGAACAATCACCCTTGACCGGATCGTAATACTCATCTTCAGCTCATGATTCTCATAGCTTTGTTGTGCTATTATACCTCATAAAATCCTCTCAAGTTTCTCAAGTCGTACCATCCGAGCAAGTTTTGCAAGAACTATCTCAGGGAACTCAATTTTCACTTTCACCAAAGTATCCATCTTTTCATTGGCTGGGATAAAAAGCAAATGCTTGGCAACAGAACGATAATAAAATAATTAGTGTAACCATTTGATTTTTAAACACTGTTCATACCCTATTGCCTTCCATGGGATCTAACTTCTCATATTCTATATCATATTCTTGAAGCTTTCTAAAAAACCAAATTGTTTTGAATACAGAAGCATAGAAACTTCAATTCTATGGCACTTCTGAGTGCTTTGGGGTTCGCCAATTTTCTCTAGCACCTTGTATCTGCGCATTAGTTTCAGCATAATCGATTTATTTAATATTATAACAACTAAAATAATTCTTTAGGGGTTTTGGGGTTTTGGGGTTTTGGGG